GTTAATAGCTTGGTGGTTACAAGTTTTGAATAGTCATCAAAACTAGCCATGAATGGCCTTTAATGGCTTAGTGGTTACAAAATGAAGAGCCATCCCCCACCTAGGTGGAAATCCTATAAATAGGACAGTGTAAAGACTGAACGAGATACGAAAGTACACAACATTTTCATGCAATCTGAATACTCTCAAAGCCTCACGCATCATATCATAGTGCTCAGTTCTCGTCTTCGAATCCGTTCGCTGGAACTCTGAAGTCTGGTGTGCTACAGCTTCCGAGTGTATTGCCGTTGTATCTTTGGGGACATTACGCACAGACCCGTCAGCACTATACGGGGCGTATTTGTCTTGCGGAAAGATTTCAATCGCCCCAACTTTCAATCTGTCCGCATTTGAGTTGTAATTTTTTATTTTGTTTTAGTTCATCTTGTACGAACTGAACACTTCAGTCAGTTCATAGGTTCCCGTTGTAATTCAAAACACAATTTGTTTAACAACAAGTCCATATGTGCATACATTCATCATAACAATTAGGTGAAGTCGTTTTGGTTCAGTTTGGTTTCGCTGCTGCGGGAAAGGGGCTTTAATCTAGTTATTATTGTGTTTTTTGTTTGTTTGTGTTCTAAGTGTATATTTGTTTTTTTTTTTGTTTTGTTTTTTTTTTCCCCCGAGGCTCCACTTTTGGAGTGTTTATTCTCCCTTTTTTGTTTCTCTAAAAAGGTGGATCAATATTGGTTCCCCAATTCCCTCCGAGTGACTCAAACTCGGGACTTGGTTCCCCAATTCCCTCCGAGTGACTCAAATTCGGGACATGGTACACGTCAAGTGAAGGTACGCGCCACTGCGCTAACCCCTCTTCATCTGAGTGTTTATTCTCCAGTTGAGAGTCTGTGTGTTCGGCGTGGTATTTAGGCTACCTTTTGTAGGCTAACATTGTTTTCGGGCCCTTTCGTCTCCAGTCCAGAAGACCCAAAAAGGCCAAAACCCTCGACAAACCCTAATAAGGAAGTTCAGATTCACTCAACTCACAAAATGCCCGCCATGAGTTTACTAGCCAGAGCAAAAATGTCGTCCCATCTGATATTCTCCTCCCCCTCACCGGCAATGTGCCTCCTCAATCTCCACCCCAAGCTCGGCGCCCTCCTACAATGCGAGCTCTACTCCACCAAAACCACGGCCCGAGGCGGCAGCCGGAAAACCCCGGTACCGACCAAGCCCAAGCCCCAGAGAGCCCGGAAGCAATCGGAGGCGCTGACCGCCGTCTGGCCCAAACCGGGGACGATATCGTACCAGTCGAAGGCCGCCAACTTCGTGAACCTGATCGGCCGTGTCGGGATCCCCATCCGGTACGAGTCCGCCGGCGTCGGAAAGCACCTGGCCTCAACCGTGATATCCCTCATGAACGGTGGTGTAAAGGACCCCCTGAAGATCCCCGTCCTGTTCGAGGGGCTCTTGGCCCGCGTCGTGTCGGGTCATGTCCGGGAGAACGACTGCGTCTTCGTGTCCGGTCACCTGAGCGTGGGCCCCACGAGTCCGGTCGGGAAATTCCACGTCGTGGCTGAAAATATCAACTTTGTGGTGGGGTTGGAGAAGAATAGTTTATGTGGGTTGGGGACTGATAGCTCTGTTGAGAACGAGGCTAACCTGTTTGATGAATTGCCCCAAAGAGCAAAGACTGAGGACAACAAGTCACTAGCAAATTCAGAAAGTGGGAATGGTGGTGGATCGGGTCTAGGAAAAGGCGATGGAAAGAGAACCAGGGATCTCTGGAGGCGTCTTTTCAGTCATGATGAGCAATGGTGGGATTTTCGTGAGCACAAGGCAAACGGGTTGGTAAAGGCAAACCATCCGGATTTCAAGCTGAAGCGGACTGGGGAGCCTCTCTGGCTTACAAATGCTCCCAAATGGGTCCTGCGTCATTATTGGATCGATGAAATTTTGTTTGACGAGAAGAGCCAGAGCCAGATAGATTATTCTTGGAAGGATTTGGTTGAAAATTTCGATGACTGGTGGGATAACAGGGCCACGAAAAAAAATCCTAAAGGGCCGGATTTTGTGCACAAGGATACTGGTGAGTGTTTGTGGTTGAATTCGTCGCCTAGCTGGGTTTTGTCTAAGCTTCCCCCGGTAAGAAATTAAGGGGGCGATTGTATATAAATTGAATAGTAAAAGCGTCGTATCTATGGTCCAGCGGTCTGAGGAGAACTTCAGTCTCCACGACCATGTTATTCGGGCTATTCGGGAGTTAATCCAGCAGTACTCGGTGGTTCGTTTGTCCCATATTCAAAGGGAAGGGAATTTCTTGGTTGATACTTTAGCCGTGCTAGCTGCTGATGTCCCAGTTGGCTATCATCGCCTTTTGAACCCGCCCAAAGAGCTCGGTCATTGGCTAATGCATGATATTGTCGGCGTGGCTTATCCCCGTCGTGTTCCGCTCTAGCGCTCTTTAGGCTTTGTCCTCTTCTCTTGTACTAAAAAAAAACAATCAATCAAAATTCAAATTTAACTCAACTTAATTTAACCTCACTATCCTCAATATTTTCAATATAATTAAATAATATCAACTCATCATTTTTACAACCCACATCAATTTTAATTCACTATTCATTCACTCAGATAATTCTAACTAACTATCGCTTTCAATAATTTTTCTCTTACTTTACATCAAATCGACTTTAATTATTTTATTTAAATATTATTTTAATAGCCAGAATGTTTGCAAGTGCAGCAGAAGGGTTTTTAGTTTTAGAATGTCACCGGGCGTTCTATTCTAGGTTTTTTCTTTCCGGAAATTCACTGTAGCTATCCGCTAATAACTAATCATACCGCATTTTTTTTTTAAAATTAACTATAGTTAAAAAACAAACTAAATAAAAATTATTTCAGTTCATAAACAATCACCCCCTAGGTTGTGGCTAAAAATGCCAAGATTGAATTTGTAATTTTTTAGAGCATCTATAATGCATTGAATCTAGTCTTTCCTAATGACATGTAGACAAACCTAAGTCTTGAATGACATGGATAAAATTATGTAAAATTCATTAAAAAAAATTATTTATCAACTTTATAAAACCTTTAATTTCATGAAATAGTAAAAGCTGTTCATGCACAAAAACATGAAACAAAAGGAGATAAAAAAAAAAGGAAAAAAAGGTATATTAGAGTTATATATATAAACTTATATAATCAATATTTCTTCACCATAAGTGTGGAATATTTATTTCATTCTCAACACTAAGCAACAAAACTACAGAATGTAAATAGCACTACAAAAAAACACTACAAATCCAGCGAAAAATTTCAACGCAAAAATTTTCGTTGGAAATTCCAATGAATATTCCAACAAACTTAATTTTATGTTGGAATAAGTGTGATAGTTGAGGAATTCCAACGGATTTTTTTCGTTGGAATAGCTGTAGGAATTTATTTCCATAGGATTTTCCGTTGGATATTTGCTATTACAACGACCGTTTTTCCAACGGATTTTTATACGTAGGAATATCCGTTGGAATAGCTATTCCAATAGAAATATAAAAAATTCCAACGAAAAATGTCCGTTGGAATATAAGAGCTTTTTTTGTAGTGTACCAGCTAGTACTTTGGTGGACCAGCTTGAGAAGTGGGCTCGGATCCAGCCGGTCTAGGGAAAGCTTAAGCCCAGCATGTGCGGTTTAAAAATATATATGGTATTGGTTAAATACCTATAAATGGAAAGATTTGAAAAAGATATTTAAGTAAGTTGGTATATATTTACAACCTTCCATGTGGGGTTGCCCCATATGGAGCTATCTAATTGGGTGTTGGTTCCATAAGGGAACCAACCAGTTAGTTTTATAGCAACATTGTTTACACCCTTATTAAAGAGAATCAAAATCTAAGTAAATCCATTGTCTTGGGTAGTAACTCATTGAGTGCCTCATAAATAAGGGATTCATGTTTTATTTTTACCCTAAGCTCTTAAGATTACTCGATTATACACGTTTAACATTATCAGTTTTTTGACTTGGGAGTCGGGGTGTCTACGCCGGGGTCCCGCCCCCGGCGCACGCTTTGCTGGTCGATTCAGTTCATAAAGACGAATGTCGATACAGAGGTGGTTCAACCGGCAATCTCGGTGAGTCGAATCTTTTGACGCATGATGCGGTTTGAGGGTAGACTAACTTGCAAGATGAAGAACATGATGTATTTAATTGTTTTAATTACTATTGTTATAATATTTTATTCTCTTCTTAATTACTACTACATAAGAAAAATTAACAATTATTTTCTTCAAAATAACAAGGTATAAAATTGTGAAACTATTATTTTTTTTTAATAATTTCTAAGAAAAAACGAATAAGTCCATTTAGAATTAATTTAAAACACCATTTGTCACAATTAGGAAGTGTTTGACAGTACACAAGTATATATACAGTTTAATCTTATAATTAATTGATTTGGCAGGTTAATTTCACTAGACTCAAATATTACAATTTACCAGTTAATCATAACTTTCATCATAGACACAATATATAGATAAGTTTCTCAACTCATAAAATTTATACAAAGTAAAAAAGTCTGAGGTGACAAGTCCATATATACATACATTCATCATAATAACTATTATGTGAAGTCATTTATCAGCTTTATAAAACCTTTAATTTCATGAAATGGTAATAAAAGCAGTTCATGCACACAAACATGAAACAAAAGGAGATAAAAAAAAAAACAGGCAAAAATAAAAAATAAAAAATAAAAAATATATACTTGAGTCATATATAAAAACATTATATAATCAATATTATTTCTTCACCATAAGTGTGGAATATATTTATTTCATTCTCAACACTAAGCAGCAAAAAGTACAGGATGTAAATACCAGCAGCTATATAATCAATAATATGACATTCAGTCTTTCTCTTTAATACATTATGGTTATATAATGCCCGCAAACGATTCACTTGGACGCGCTTTGTGGAACCGAAGCCTCGTTCATGTCGACATTCTTTTCGATATCCTTGTTCGGCCCGAGCTCAAAGTCCTTCGTCTTGTCGTCTTTGTTTGCATTCTTGTAGACTAAGTACAGAATCATTTGAGCAATTCCGAATAAAAATCCGAGGACATTTGGCAGCTGGGTCGTCATAATTCAAGCAAACGTGCAAGCGGTTTAAATTTATATTAGATCATAATAGCTAGAAAATATTGAAAAAAAATTAAAAAAAAGGAGATATTTTGATTGAGAAACACCATATATAGGGTACTTACTGCTATGTAGTAATCCTTGACAAAGAATCCATAGAAAAACCACATAGTGGCACAGAGGGTGAGGAAGAATGATAGAGTGAACGGCATGAACTCCACGCTTTTCGTCCTTATCACCCGCCTCTGATCGAATTCGACTATTAATTACTATTTAAATAAATTCAATTTCTTTTTTTTTGGCTTTGTAAAATATTCTAATTAATTTCATTGAATTCATTTGAAGGAAAATTGTACCATGATGCTTAAAGGAGCTGCAAATACAGCTAAGTTGATAATGGCGCAAATCCATCCGACTAAGGACACCCTTTTCGGACCTTCGACTGCTAGCAATGAAACTGCCGCGACAAGCCCTATACCTCCGATATTGAATAGGAGAATAAACCTTATTGTGAAAATCTGCAAATAATTAAACACACAATATATCATATAATTAATTAAATGAAAGAATTATATATATATATATACTTACATACTTATGATTAATTAAATGAAAGAATATATTTTGTTATATTATAATTATACCTTGGCGTTCTTGGGAGCGTATATTATATAGATGGCGAGGTAAATGGCTTCGATGACACATCCTATAGCATTGATGCTAACAATCATATAAGCATTCGTCTTAAGGACAGCGTAATAAAGCAGTAAAGAAGCACTGAAAAATGCGACCGAATAAGGTATCGACTGGAATCCTTCCGATGATTTCTTCTTGCAAATCGTGTAAAAAGTTGGCCTATGTTGCACAATTAAAGACCAAACAATTAGGAATAGATTATTTCCATTATTTGCATGAAAATTATATTCGAAACTTTTCGATTAAGTTCCATGAATCTTACAGCGGCGCCAAGAATACCAAAAATGATATTATATTGCCTGTTCATGATCAAAAAAAAAAAGAAGGTTTAGTTTGAGCAAATGCGAAGTACGACTGAACCGATCGAACGTGAAACATCATGAGCAGAAGATGGAGCACTAATGAAAAATAACTCTTACCTAATAAGCCAAATATGAAAGCGAGATTCTCGGAAGTGAAGAAGGCCATTTCGACGTACGTACGTAATATGTTTATTGAAGTGAAGAAGCTTGCAATGATCGATCGATACAGAAGAACTTCTTGCCATAGAAACTCATCAGAATCCTTATTTATAGGTGAAAAAACCGGGTTGTTTGGTGAAGGGAATTGGCGCTGAACTATGTTTGGCCAGCATGAATGTAACATTACATGGCCATGCTGCTTTGGGTGTACGAATGGAGGAGATAACAATACCAACATCTTTGTTCACATTCATCCCATTGATATGTCAGTTCTATGTTTACATGACTTTAGATAGAGGCGTACGTAGTGCTGTAAACGAACCGAATCGAACCGAACCGAGCTTGGGTTGTTCGAGCTCGTGTTCGTTTACGTTTGAAAAGTGTTCGTGTTCGTTCGTTTATTTTTCGAGCAAAAAATCTTGTTCGAGTTCGTTCGTCTAATTGTTCGTAAAAGTTCGAGTTCGTACGTGTTCGAATAATTTAATATATAAACTTTTTAAATATGTTTGATTAACTCGAAATTTGTTCGTTCGAACTCCTTCGAACTCGAAAATAAAAGAATAAAATAAAATATTTTTATCTTTTTTATTAAAAATATTATGTAAATATATAAAAAATAAATAAATTTATATTAAATTTTAGATTTTTATTAAAAATATTATATAAATATATATAAAATAAAATTAAATTATATTAAATTAATGTTCGCGAACATAATCGAACGTTCACGAACGAGCTCGTGTTCGTTCGATTATTAAACGAGCCTAATTTTCTGTTCGAATTCAGCTCGATTAATAAACAAATGAGCTTTTGTCGAACACGAACGAGCTCGAACAAGCTTTTGTTCGCGAACGTTCGGTTCGTTTACAGCTCTAGGCGTATGTGTTTGCAATTTCGAGTGACATGTTTGAAGTGTATTTGTTTAGAATTTCGAGCATTGTTCTAAAAATCAGCCTAGGCGGTGTCGGGCGCCTCCGATTTACACAAATCAGCAGAAAAAATCGGCCAGGCGACTAAGCGGCGCCTAGGCGGTCCTAGGTGCTCCTAGGCGGACATGGCGGGCTCGGCGGCCAGGCAGCGCCTAGACGGGCATTGGCGGACCTAGGCGCTTCTGTGTGGGCTCGTCAGTAATTTTTCAGTTTTTTTTTTTTAAATACTAATTGCGTTATTTTGTTCTTATGTTTTTTCTTTAAAATATTATTTGGACTTAGGTGTGTCGATATATTATAAATTGAGATAGTTTTATTTTGTAGGTAGTTAAAATAAATAAAAACCTCTAGATTTTGTAAGATATTATAAAATCTGAAATGAATAATTCGAGTTTACTGTATGTTCTTGTTTTAATAGCTATCATCTCTCCAGTTTCAATTGTTATTTTTTGAACAATCAAGCTAACCATCACTAGCAATTTTCACGAACTCTTCTGTGCATCCATTTTATTTGGTAGTCTTATGTTGAGTTTTTTGCCAAATTATGGCATCTCATGTTGGTTTTTCTAGTAAGAAAAGGCTAAGATTTCATATAAATTCTGTGGAGCCATTGAGTGATTTTTTTATGGATTAATCCATCTCTTATTTCCTCTACATGTCTGCGATTCTCTATTCGATTTGTGTCGCCTTATAGGTCCACCCGAGTCTCCTGATGTAGTGCTCCTTTCGGTTTATATAATTTCTCACATTTTATTTTTATTTATTTTCCTTTTTATTTTATTTAATTGTTTGCTTTTATTTTATGTGCATATTGCTTGCTTTTAAATATTCTCAAAATATTTCTTTCACATAAACTTTATTTGAATAATATTTTAAATAGGTTATATTTTTTGAATTTATCATCAATATTTTCGTAAACTCTTTACAGGTTATTCAAACTTTTTTATGAATATCCTAGAAATACTTTTTAGATACTTTCATAAAGTTTTCTATTCAAAGGAATATCCTAAAATTATATTGCATATACTTTTATAATCTTTTGGTTAATTCAATCCTAAATGTGCACAGCCAATATTAATATGTAAATTTTTTTTGGGGCATATCTCATATATTTTTAATATTATTTTTATTGTAATAATTAAGATAAAAATATTTAAACACAAACATATTACGAGGAGTGAATAATATAATTATAGTAATTCAATAAAATATCATTGTTTTTTAATTTTTATTGGTAATATAAAATAAATTATAATTACGTTTGCATGTAATAGTTGTTAGATTTGGACTTATAAAATTTAGAAGGTAAGTCTTTTTTTTTTTCTTTTTTTTTTTTCAAAAGGCAGACTATTATAAATAAAACATATAATTACAATCGAATAACAACCGATAACTACCAAAAAGAGCAGCTACAAAGCTGAATCCTTGGGAAGACAACCCTGAATGTCAGCCCAGTTGAACACGCACAACACACCCACAAACTCCCAACAGGAGAATTCAGTTCCTAACATGAGAATAAACACTACACACAACAAACAAAAACACTAAAAAACACAACGAAAAGTATTAGAATAATCCCTCTCCACCAGCTAACTGGCAGTGGCGTAGCCAGGATTCAAATTTCTACGGGGCTGACTAATACACTTAGTTGGTATATATGGAAGCATTAATACATCATACGTTTTTCATGATAATTTTTCCAATAATTTTTTTTCAAAACAATATTTAGTTATTAATCAATTATATATTTGTGGTAATTTAGATAGCACAAGTTTTTCCACATTACCTCGTTTGGGGTCGTTCCACATTGCCCTGCTGGGGTCGTTTCATTTTGTCAGTGTCGTTGGTTCTAGTGTTGGTGTTTGAGTCGTTTTCTTTCTAGCCTTGCTAGCGATTCCAGGCGGACCTCGGTCTAGCCTCCAAGTTTGTATTTTCGCACATTTGTGCGCTTATCTATAGTACTTCTATCGTTCCGACCAAAAAAAAAAAAGATAGCACAAGTTTCAATATAATAAAGGTCGACATATTTTTTTTTTATTTTTTTTTTTGTAAAAAAAAATAGAATACGTTAAGAGCATATGCATTTGGAAATTTTTAATTTTTTTAATATTTTTTTAAAAAAATTGTATATCTGAATTTTGACTTCTTATGATTTTTAAAATTCTTGAGTTATGGAATAGAGATTTTGGAATTTTTAAAAGTCAGGAGAGAATTAATTTAGTTATCACTGAAATTTATTAGAACTTTTTAAAATTTGTTGAGAATTCAAACACAAATTATATATGTCAAATGTTACTACCAAATTCCACCTTTGAACTTAAGATTTTTAATAAGTATTTCACTAAGTTAATAAGTTTTCAAAAATTTTAAATATAAAAATGACTTAAAATATCACTCAAAATCCCAAATAAATAAATGTTAATTGCATTAATATTTATCTTGTTCAATATGTATACTTGTTAAAAAATATCCTAAATATCCATATTACTTGTTGACAAATATTCATATTACTTGTTAAGAAATTATTTATCTTGTTCAATAGGTTCAATATGGGTAAGAGAAAATTTCAATTTCAAAGACTAAATTAAGACTTAAATCTAATGCATTGTTCTAGTTTTTTTAGGGAGGGCTATAGCCCACCCAAGCCACAATGTGGCTACGCCCCTACTAACTGGCAACCCCAGACCCTAAGGTAGCGGCATCGAACACGAAGCAAGAAACTCCAGACCAAAATATGCTAACTAAAACCCGCCTGAATACCACAGACCCTTCCAACAACAATCACCATCGTAAAACTCGGGCAACTCACCACAAGCCACATTACACACGCACCGATGACCACCGCCCCTCCCCAACCGAGACCAGGGCAGCCCCAATTGATCCACCGATCCCAACACCAGAAATCGGCCGGACCTTGGCGTGAGCTTGCTGTGAGACTCCGGTCCCAAACAGCTGCCTAAGCGGCGCTCGAAACCAACGGCGTAGGAGAAACCCACAACTAGTTGGACACCCCCTCCCCCCAGCCATGGCCACTGGGAACACGGAGAGATGCCACACTCGAAGAGAGCCCGTCAGGACGCCAACCCTCCACTGCCGACCCGAATCAGGTTGAAGTTTTCGGGAAAACGCCGACCAAGTGAGAGAGAAAGGGGATCTAGGTAGGGTTTTTTTTTTTTTCGATAAGAGAGCATATACAACAAAAATAATATTTAGTATTTTAACATCATTTATTAATTTTGTTGCTAACATGAAATAAATAGTACTTGTTTAGGCAAATAAGAACTTGTTGACGATTTTGGATTTATAGACCAGTTACAAAAGTTGAAACACATTTTTTGTGCGTCGAACGCAATTAAGTGTCCGGTTGAGGATAAAGAAGTCCAAAATCACAGTTTGGATTTACGTTTGAAGTTAGATTGGGCTGAATTTACTTCATTTTATGCTGCGTTTTGCGTTTAAATGGGTTGAAATTACTCCATTTCATACTTTTGCGTGCCGATTGGAGTTGATCTTACGCTACTTTGCGTTTGAAGTTCGATTGGACTGTATTTACTTCATTTTATACATTTTGCATTCAGTTGGCTGAATTTGTACAATTTTATACGTTTTGCGAGCCGATTGGAGTTATCCTACGCACTAAAACATTAGGGTAGTGTTTTTTTTCTTTAATAAAAAAGGTATTACGTATATTATACGTGGATACTATTTTCATGCATGATGCTTTTACCCACGGTAGACACATGTTAATATGCCCACAACTTATGTGGCATGCACAAATTGGTGAAGTTAATATATTAAAAAAAATACATCACCAATGTGTACATACCACATAAGCTGTTGACATGTGCCAAAAGACCATAACTGCTATTTCCATTACAAATTGATACTATTTGTTTGGAGCTGAAATGAACCGTGGACTAAGAAAAAAGTAGAAAATGTGTCCATATTCATCAAAATTAAATTAAAATCATATATAAGGTACCAAAGTTATTTTTT